GAGGCCTCTAATAAATATTTTTAATAAAGTCTGTATTCAGATTTTTGGACTGAATCTAGAATAGGTATATAAACTTTTGACATCACATGCTTAGAACTTTAACCATGTTCTTCTTTGATTTTCAGGATGCACTCCACGTCCAGTCATGAAGGACACAAACAACACAGATCACAAACTTTACCTATAATTCGAACCAAAAATGCCCTTTCTAACCCCAAACTCTTACAGATGTTAGACAACACCGGGACCAGTAAGTAAATCACCTCTGGCCTACACCCCAGTTCTTGTATGACTAAATACATAAATCTTTTTTAAAAAAAAAACAGTAAGTAAATCAGAAACAACAGGAGGAAGTCAGTTTTCAGCTTTGTTCTGGATCCATGTGGCGCTTGACCGTGTTACAAGGTTTCAGAAACGTCACTGTGTCACTGAAACAAGGCTTTTCTGGCCCTAGGCCAGGAATGTTTCTTAAGAGGAGAGAATCACCAGGCAGTGAAGAACATGGAATGTCCTTGAAAGGAAGAAAAGGAGGGAGAGGACACTGTCTGGTCGCATAATGGGTTAAAGCCCAGCACTGCAGGCTGGCGGCAGCCCCTTTGGTGCTGGTTTGATCCCCTCCAGCCCCGGAGGTGACCCACATGGCGCAGCAGACCTCTCCTGACCCGCCCGCTGCTCCCCTCAGCAGAGTACTTTGTCGATCTGCCTGTTCTGCTCCCCACTCTGTGTCTGAGGAATCCTCTCATGGCCCCTGCACCTCTGGCCTGTACCCCAGTTCTGTATGCATAAATAAATAAATCTTTAAAAAAATTTTAAATGAAAAGGGGGCAGAGGCAAATCTCTGAGTATAGCATTGTGAGCACAGCTCTACTGGAAAGAGTGTGACATCTTGGATCCATTGACACCCCTTGTGTCCAGTGAGTCAGTGAGGAGAAAGGAGGGGTGCCCTATAGTATATCCATGTCTACTGGCAACAGTTTAAAGGCTGATGCCTTGACTGCGAATCTATTTAGGGCCTTTTTGCAGAAGCCCTGAAAGGACATTGTCCACTGAAGCCGCACATGTGGTCTGTCGGTCTAGAAGCATAAAACTTGAACCAGATTGGTTATTAGAGAAACATGGCTCTGTCAAGAGTGAATCCATGGATTAGAGGTAAAAATCAAAGGAAAACAGGCCACGCAAGTCCTTTGGAAACCCTGCAGCCAGGGTCAGGACAGGCCCCCACACTGTCTCAGCTCAAGCACAACACAGGCCACAGATTGGGTGATCTCACCAGAACATTTACTCCCCATTGTTTTGGAGCCAGGAGGGATTGAGATCAAGGAGTAGCAGAGCTTCTGCCCAGTGAAGGCCTCTTCCTGACCTGATGCGGTCTCCTCCATGCTGTGTCCCACGTGGCAGGGGGAGACCATCTCTGTCCTCTCTCTCTGGGGTCTCTTCTGTAAGGGCACTAATCCCACTCGGAAAGTGCTGGTTTCACTACCTTTCAGAGACCCCTCTTCCAAGTTTTATCACATGAGAGATTAATGCTTCAACATAAGAACTAGGGGGAACACAAGTAATGCAGCTTGTAGCACCCTTGAAAGACAACCTAGTGGTTTTGATTCAGCCAACATGGGAACTGAACAAAGAAGTACAGTGACAAATTATTCATCAAACAGCAGTAGATGCTGAATTTGTTGTGCTAGAAGGAAGTGTTTTATAAGCCATAAAGAATCATCAAGGCATTTCTGTGTTGTATAAGATCCACTGTGTGTTTTGTAGACAACGCCAGTGACAACTTTATGCAACAAGTGGACATTGAGGCCAACACTGCCACAGAGGTCTGCCTGACCATTCTAGACCTGCTCTCCCTCTTCACGCATATTCACCAGGTGAGTGGGGTCAGAATAATGTCTTCAATAGGAGCAGTAGGACATAGAACTGTCAGGTGAAGTCAGAATGTTTTAGGAAAATCATTAACCTGACACAGAAAGTGGAAGTAGAAAACATGTTGATGTGCCTTAGTGTAAGTGGAAAACATGTTAATGATGAGATTCAGATTTTCTCGAAAGTTCACTAAAGCTCCATTGTTACACACATGCGTATTTCACTATTGTGCAATAGTAGACATTCTTTATTCCTACTTTCTCCTATCCCACTGTCAGGTCAGCAGAGCCAAAGGAGAATGTGTCTCTGTCTTTTCCACCTCAAAGGTAGAGCTGAATGACAGGTAAATCCAACAGACTAATATTGAACACCCTTCTGTCTGCCCATTCACTACTTGTATACCTTTGGTGATATGATACTGCTACATACTATCAGAATGGATAGAACTAAAGACTGACCTGCCCAATTTTCAGCAAGGATATGTAGCAGTAAATTCTCACTGGATGATGGGGATGCAAAATAGTGCAAATGCTTTGGCTCATAGCATGGCAACGTAAACATCAAATGTTCATCTGTCATATGAACAGCTATTGCAATGTTAGGTATTTACTCAGAAGACAGAAAAGCATTTTTCTACACAAAGTTTTGAATGCTAATATTCATAGAGACTGTGTTTTTAATAACTGAAGACTAGAAACAAGTCAAATGTACTTCACCAGGTAAAGAGACTTTCTTAATGGTGCTAACTGCATGAAAAAGAATGCTTAAGGTTAGGCTCTGGGAGCTAAACCATCCAAAGGCATAGATATTGCATGATTCCCTTTATAGCTCATGTCATAAAATGCATACTAGAAACTATGTGAATTATACCTCAAGAAAGCTATTAAAATCATGAGCTCAACATAACAAACTTACAGGCATTAAGAATGGAACTAGAAAAGTCAGACCCATTAAAATAAGTCTACATAAAACATTGTGCTAATAGGAAGGAAGCCCTCCTTTTGGGTGAAATGCCAATATGGTGATAGAAAAAGTGAAAACCGTGTTTTAACTCTTTATTTCTTCATGGAAATGTCACTTAAATCTCACCCAGCTAGTAGGCTTTGTAACACCCATGAGAATGCCTGTCTGTGACCTGTCTCTTTCTGTCTCCAGTTCCATCCCACACACCATGCTTAGAGTTCTCTGTCAATTCCCAAATCCCCTTCCAACTCAGGTGGCTGGTATTAGCTGTTTCCCCCTCCTGAGACAACCCTCCAGGTCTGCCCAGGGTAGACTCCTTAAACTCAGGTGTGAACTCATCCAGTAGAGAGTCTTAACTAAGCACACCATCTAAATAATTCAGTCCTGAAGTAGCTACTTTCTGTCACATCATGTCTGTCTACTCTGTTTTCTTATGTAGTAGTTATTTTCTCAATCACTACAATATGCGTTTCATTCAGAACATAAAACTTATCTTCTTATTTAGCACTTTAGCACCCAGAATTGTGCCTACTACAGTAGCTTTTGAAAGAATACAAGGGTCCTTTAACTCATCCCAAATCCCTTTTATATTACATTTCCAGAGACAACTCCAGCAATCTGAGTGTCAAAACTCAATGATGAAAAGGGTGTTTGATACCTACATGCTCTTTTTCCAAGTCAATCAGTCAGCGACTGCTCTGAAGCACGTGTTTGCCTCCTTGAGACTGTTCATATGCAAGGTAAGTGTCCTCCAGGTTCCCCTAAAAGCTGTGTTAAGGGTGATAATAAACACATGCTGATCTTTGCATTTCTTGTTATAGAAGGAAGACTTGCATTATTTTGCTTGATTTAGTTTTATTAGACGTTGAGTAGATTATTTGATTTTATTAGACTCTAACTCTTGTCTTAAGTATTTGCAGCAGAAAGATAGCAAAATTCTGTGAAGCCCACTCATGGCATGTTAACATGGGTATTGCTGTGACCTTTGAGGGCACCTCCAAGAGATACCTGTAGATGAACGTGTTGGGTGAATAGAAGTACTTCAAAACTCTTGCTCAGCTTCTTCTTTCTGTCCTTCTGTGTTCATCCTTCTTTCTAGTTTTCTTTTTTCTCTATCTTGCTATCTTTATAACATCATTCTTCCTCCCTCCCTTCTTTCCTTTCTTTTTTCCTTCCTTCCTCCCTATTTAAAAAAAAAAAAACTCTTAGTTGTTTTAGGTTCTCATATCTGCTGATGCAAGAGAAATACACAAGGCAGAGAATGATTATTTCTAGAAAGAAAAAGAAATGCTAATAGACTTTAATGACATTAAATATTAAATATAAAATAAAGTTAACTTACAACTATAAGAAAAACATTAGATTGAAAAAAAAAGAAAGAAAATAGAATTGTTCTAGAGGATTTTAAAATATGAAAGGAGCCAAAGGGAAGAAGTTCCTCACTTCACCAGTGTATCCATTTCTGCAGTTCCCCTCAGCTTTCTTTCAAGGACCCGCTGACCTCTGTGGATCATTCTGCTATGAAGTCCTAAAATGCTGTAACCATAGGTCAAGGTCAACTCAGACGGAAGCATCAGCACTTCTATACTTTTTCATGAGGAAGAATTTTGAATATAACAAGCAGAAGTCAATTGTCCGATCCCACTTACAAGTAAGCACTGCCAGTTGGCATTAATGCTGTTGTGAAAACTATCCATTTGTCCCAGCATTGAAATAAGCCTACTGTCCCAAGGCCACCGTTCCCCACTGCTCCAACAGATTACTCTTAAAGAAAACCCATCACACTCCTGGTTCTGAGGAAGGGGCAACTGGACAGAGGATTTTAAAATATGAAAGGAGCCAAAGGGAAGAAGTTCCTCACTTCACCAGTGTATCCATTTCTGCAGTTCCCCTCAGCTTTCTTTCGAGTCCATGACTCTACTGGTAGTTTGAAATAGAAGTGGAACCACATGGAACATGTACCCCTGGAAGCCATGCAGGCCTGGAAGACCAAGTCCCCCAGATCGAAATTGCACACATTTTCTTCTTCAAGCTTCCCAAGATACCCACAGTCTTCTTGAAATACTTAAGATCTAGGAAATTCCCTAGGTCGCATGGCCTTCCTAAAATCAAATACAAAAAGACATTTCATTAGGCCTAGTAGGAGAAATAAATGATACTTTACCCAACTCCATGGATTTCTTTAAAACCTCTTTGAAACTGCTTTTAAATTACTTACTTTTGTTATTTCACTTTTCTTTTCTCTTCCAGCTCATCAAGGCTGTAAGCCAGTTAATAGCTGATGCTGGGATTGGAGGTTCTCGGTTTCAACATTCCCTGGCAATCACCAATAATTTTGCTAATGGAGACAAGCAAATGAAAGTAAGACATGCTTTGTGAGCTTTAAAAAAAAAAAAGTAGGAATAAGTGAAACCAGATTCTTTTTGTGAGACCTCAGAATCACAAAACACAAACTCTGTTTATATCAAAAACTTTTGATTATTGAAACTTTAACTGGGTACCTATATTGACTTTGATTGTTTGACTTAATAACTGGCTCTTATCCTTTCAGCATATAATCTGTTTAGTGGGATTTCTAAGATGTGTGGCTGAAGGACATAATAAGAAAACTTGCCACAAATATCCAGAAATTCAGTGATTTTCTCATTATCCCATTCTTGACCAACTTCATCTCATCTTTCTCGTAGCTCTTCCTGAAAACGTCTCTCTTAATCATTGTACTGGAAAGCCCATGAGCAAGCCTGGCTCCAGGCATGGCTAAACTTGGGGATTAAAATGTTTTCAGATTCCCTGCTCCTAGGGCCTCCATTTCTGTCTCCCTTTCAGTTCAATGTCACTCTTTGTTCACTTCATTCAAAAACAAGACCACCATGGGCTTACTCTCTCAGAAACTTAGAGGACACTGGTGGTTTTGTGAGTGGAAAAAGCACCTGTTCTGTAGGGAAATTAAGGTTCCAGAATGGAATCTCTCTGACCCGTCCTGTATCATATGCCTGACCCTAAGCCCATCACTGTGGGTCAGGCAGTCCAAGAATGAGGCAGATGCCTGAGACTGAAGCAGACACATTCAGGTCAAATGAACTAGGGCCAGAGAGGAGAGCTTCTCAGAGGACAATTGGGATATTATTACCAGAAGACAATGGGCTACAAAAAAAAAGGGGGGGGGTCTCTGATTCTTCTTTATAATATATTTTTTATTTTTATTATTTTGCCATAACATTGGTTTACACCATTGTTTGTGCATTAGAAATATAGAATTCTCCACATTGTCCACATCATAATCCATTGTGCTCCCTCATAGTCCACTGTCCCCCTTGTTCTTGCCACACCCCGCTCCTCTAACCCCACTCCACAGTCACCTCAGTTCTATATTCAGCTTTCTAGGGATACTTCTTACAGTGACTTTATCTGACTCTTTTCTGAGCTCTCTATATTCCACACATAAATGATACCATCTGACATTTGTCTCTCTTCTGATTTATTTCACTGAGCATAATCCCCTCCAGCTCTATCCAGGTTACTGCAAGTGGCAAGAGTTTGTCTTTTTGATAGCTGAGTAGTATTCCATTGTGTATGTGTACCACATCTGCCTGATTGACTCATCTGTATTTCGACATTTAAGCTGTATCCACAGCTTAGCTATTGATAACCACAGTATTTATAGTCACAATTATATACATAGAATGCATATATAAAGAGAGTAAATATTGATGAACAAGATGTAGAGCACACCAAGCTATGATGCGAAGCCAGAATTTATAGCATAGCTTGAAGTTAACTAATGAGCTCTAGACCGTTAATGACCCAGGCACTCTGTTTCCCAAAGAACAGCAATTTCCCAGCAGAGGTAAAAGATCTAACTAAACGAATACGGACTGTGTTGATGGCCACAGCCCAGATGAAGGAGCATGAAAAGGACCCAGAGATGCTGGTGGATCTACAGTACAGCCTGGCAAACTCCTACGCAAGCACCCCTGAGCTGCGGAGGACCTGGCTGGAAAGCATGGCCAAGATTCACGCTAGAAACGGAGACTTATCTGAGGTGATAGCAAGACTCTGTTATTCTCTACTGGCGTTGTTCTCTTTACCAGAAAGAATGGCTTTCATTTCTGTCTAGGATATAAAAAGTTACAGATTTTCCATAATGCAGATGGACCCAGTTATCTATTTTTTGCTTGAAATGTGCATGCAAAGACTCAAGGATGTCTGCTCCAGGTCAGTGGCATCAAATAAAGGCCATTGGGCACCTGCCTTCATAGGAACTGAATGTGAATAGTTGAGCCTGATGAGGTGGTTGTAAAGGTGCCAGCACTTAAAAGTGATACAAGTTAGTGGTCTGTGTTTAAAAAGCTGCAACTGGAGCTGAATGAGGAAATCATCTCAGTGAGTAAACTCAGGGAGAGTGGTCTATTCTCATTTACACCGGTGGGAACTGGTAATGGAAACGTTAACTCTGGAGAGACACACAGAGTGCAGCAGAGTGCGCGATGAGAAGGGTGTAAATCGGCAGGTACGCCTACGGTAAACACGGGGTGAATTTATATGCAACTATTCACATCGCCCATGTGACGCAGACACCAAATAGAGAAGCTTTGCTTTATTCTCAGAAGTACACGCCTTTGAGGAACAGAGCATGTGTCTAGCTTAGTCCTAAAACCTTCGAGGTAACAGAAGTTAAAGGGATGCCATTTTGGAGGGAGAAAAAGTAAGAAAGTAGTTTGCTTTTACTAATTATTTATATCTAGACACTAGAGTTCCAATGTCAACAAGAAGAGAATTATGTTTAAAGGCTAGTGGAGGGATGGATAGATGGATGGATGGATGATGGATGGGTGGATGGATGGATGGATGAATGGATGATAGCTAGATAGATGTATAGAAAGAGAAATGGAGAGATAGCTATCTTAGATACTAAGAAGATAATATATGGGAAAATTCTTCAGGTCAGCTAATTTACTCAACTGAAAACTACATCAAGAAAAAAACAAAAGTCTCCACATCTGCATTTTATCCTAGATTGTGACCTTGTGGGAAATCTGACTCTTAGTTTCAATGCTGTCATGACAAATAATTCTCTCATGCATTCTGACATGGAATACTGGCTCACGTGAAAGTCTAGTCTGACTAGATAAACATAAAACCATGGCATGCCGCCTGTAACTTTGAGTCCTCTTTGATCTACAGGCTGCGATGTGTTACATCCATATAGCTGCCCTCATCGCAGAATACCTGAAAAGAAAGGGTAAGATGGTCAAGTGAGGGGGAAGTTATGTAGTCAACATGTTGACTTCTGACGCAACGTTGATTTGTTAATTTTATATTCATTAATCTCTTGTTTTGTTACATAACATGAATTTTCAGATGTTTCTAATTATACTCTACTTTTAAATTTTAACTGTTCTTCATGTAATGTATTCATGTAATGTATCATTTTTATTTTCTATACAACACTATTCATTGGGTGGTCCACTTCTTAACTCAATATGAGAATGCTTTACTGGTTCATGATTTGTGGTTTCTTGCATTTGTATTAACACAAACATGTCCTAACCTCATCTTGCACTACCATAGGTTACTGGAAAGTGGAAAAGATTTGCACAGCACCCGTGCTTCTGGACGAGGGCCACCCCTGGGATAACAACCCATTACTAACAGCTCCGGGTAGAGGAAGTGAGTGGTCTAACTGAGCCCATTGCCCCAGCAATGGAAATTGCAGAGGAAATCCAGTTGTGCTTAAATTTAACTTCAATTAAAAAAATTTTATGCACTCCTAGGAACAAAATCTCTGTCCCACCTACATGACTTATGTTGCAAAGAACCAAAACCAAAGCACCTAGCATGCAGATACCCCATTTAATTTTTTTAAAGATTTATTTATTTGTGCATACAAGAACTTGGGTACAAGTGAGAGGTGTAGAAAGGAGCATTCACCAGAGAGAGTGGGAAGCCGAACAGGTGGATTGACTAAAATACACTGCTGAGGGGAGCAGTGGGTGGGGGAGGAGAGTCTGCTACGCCATGTGGGTCAGCTCCCTGGCTGGGGATGGAACTCGTGCTGCAGTGCCTGCAGTTAGCTTTATAGAGCTGAGAATAACCCTTTGAGCACCAAGGGTTACTGAAAAGTTTTCTGGTAGTAGAAATGCATCTTATCCAATGTTATTCTAAGTGGTGACTCCAGTTTGCTACCAGGTTGCATGCTAGTCTGTCCTTGGTATTTTATTCTTAAATTGATGACTAGTTTGGACTTGTGAAAGCAATCTATTATAATTTTAAAATGTAGTAAAAGGCCCTCCCTGGTGACGCTAGGGTTAAGGTGCAGCACTGCAAGCTGGCCGCAGTAACTTCAGTGCAATTTCAATCCCCGGCCCTGGAGGTGACCACATGGCGCGGCAGACCTCTCCTGACCCGCCCGCTGCTCCCCTCAGCAATGTACTTCATCAGTCTGCCTGTTCTGCTCCTAACTCTGTCTCTGGAGAATCCTCTCACCACCCCTGCACAAATAAATCTTTCAAAATAAATAAAATTTTGTAAAACTTTATTTAAATTAAGGGATGCAAAAGTAGAGGCATATAAATATTATATCTGTATTATATATATATATAACTCATAATCAATATATTTCAATCCAGTTAAAAATATGAACTGATTATAATGATTTATAACATAATAATTTACAGCGCTATTTTAATTAAAAATATTGCATCTTTAATGTCAAGTAAAGATTTTGTAACAATAGCCATAGTTAATGTACTACAGTTACAGTTAGTATTTGGAATTGAGTTACTATTTTAGGTAAAATATTTTCTATTCATGTTAGGTCTAATGATATTGAGGTGCATTTTGGAAACCTAATTGATTCATTCATACAAATATGTATGTATTTGGTAAAAACAGACATTTCAAGAAATTATGAACTAACGTATAAAGCACTGGCTTCATGAGAGGCACTTCATTAAATTCTGTACAAGAACCATTATCTCAATTAGTTACAAATAACAATCAGCTATTGTCTATCAGCTAGTTATATTATCACCTTCTGTTTATAGGTGAGAAGTTAATAGCCTGCCCCCCAGCTTGTGGTGGGCTTGTGTCAGGGCTGAAGTTCAAGGGCTGGTCTGTCATTACAGACTATTCCCAACCAATCATACTCCACCAGTCAGACCCTACTCCTCTGGGAACATGACCCAAGAAAATGTGAAATGTCTAGATAATGCAAAAATAGTGACTACATGAGTAACTTTCTCAAATACTAATGTTTTGGAGGTCTTTCAACAGTCTTTTGAAAGACACATTTATGTCTACAGTCTAACAAATGCAAGAGACAGGTCGAGAAGATTAATTACATGAGAACATTGTCTATAAATTATATTCTGTCCATAAAGCCATGCCAGTTCTTTATAGAAAATAGGCCACTTAAAAATGATACAAACACTATCAAAAGGGGAACACTGGTTATCTGACAGTGAACATTTATCAACAGTCATATTCTAACCATCTCATTGATTATATGAGCTTTACAAGATCATATGTGTGATCTCTTGTAAAGCCGTGAAGATAATTGGCATTATCTAATGTAAGCAAGTGTTGACTCAAATAATAATGATGCTTAATTCTCCCTAGGCATGTTCTCTATGGGCTGGCCAGCTTTTCTGAGCATTACACCAAATGTTAAAGAGGAAGGAGCAATGAAAGAAGACTCTGGAATGCAAGATACACCATACAATGAGGTTAGACCAGAATAATACCAATAATAGCCATGTAAAAAGATTCACTGAGTTATAACATTAAGCTAAGTCATTTTATTTTGACATAGGCAAAATGAGATGCAGGCTGAAATTAAGCTAAGATTAATAGATATTAGAATCTGTTGATAAAGCATAATTTTCAATGAAAATGTAAATCAGACTTCTGTAGGATGGACCCAAATACAATCAACTCTTTTATAAGCCTCTAGTCTTGGTCAAGATGGCAGATGCTGAAAATTTTGTGAGCTGATCACAGCTAATTTTTTAATTCATTAGTTTATTTGCAAACATATTTCAACCAAAAAAACTCACTAGAAACTTCAGTATGCATGAGTTATTTTCCACTTATAAGGACATTTATTTAGAATTAAAGAAATAGAGCTCCTCTAGACAAAAACTGTTTGTTTTTAAATCCTGATGTTAATATAGATTTTTAAAAATTTTTTAGTAGTTAATTTTTACATGTTTTGTGCATTTTTCCATCTCAGTTGCAATCCCCTTGGGTTTCCCATCACCAAATCATCCATGTGCCATCACCATAGTCCAGTGCATTTCCCTCCCTCCACTGTTCTTGATCCCATTCCCCACTCCACCTCCACAAAATGTCTCTGATATATAGCTTTTCATCATTATCATTATATTCTCACCTATTCCATTATATTCCTGCTATGAGAGAAACTATCTGGTATTTTTCCTTTTCTTTCTGGATTATTTCACTAAGCATGATCTTGTCCATCTCCATCCATGTTGCTGCAAAAGACATGTGTTT